CAAGGGAACGGGCTTGGAAAAATCATCATCATATATATATGATGCATAAACACACAACTTAAATGAGTAAATTTTTCTATCAAAAATATTTTAAAAGTTTATAAATCATAAAGATTAGCATTTATCAATATAGTTTCTTTCAGTAACTCCACTTTATCCGTTAAAAAAATAGGTGAAATGTAATCTTCATTTTTTGTGTCATTTTATGATTACTTCCAACTTGACATTGTATATATGCCAAATCAACATATATTTCCACTTTCTAATCAGTTTAATAGCCATTTTTTGCATCCCATATTTCAGCAAGTTGTGTTTTTACTTTGTTTTCTAAAACATAAAGCTAAATTAATAACTTATGAAAATTCATAACGAAAAATGTACTCCAACTGCATATGCTATTCACACAGACAGAAAAATGTTTTTAATAACATTTGGCTACACTTTACAAACTTTATTTTATTACTTTAACCTCACTATTAAATGCTATTTTAACTGGCTTACTATATTATACCTGCCCCTAAAAAAATCATTCTTCTGGCTGTCTGGCTGGTTATAGCTTTATACTGATGCAACAATATTTAAACAGATTTTCAATTTTTGTCACAAAATACTGAATAACCCTAAGAATGATGGTTGTGTGTGATTTTATTCTAGTGTAAAAAGTTACCTAATGGGTGTGTACGCACACATCTATATTGTATCAATCACGAGTATAATCCAATTTCTGTTATGTCAAATATTTTATGCAACAGGCAAAAAACACTTTCTCGCAACACCGAAAAAAAGATAACTGAGTGAGAAAGCAATATAAGAGGTAGAATAACACCAGGTTTCTTAACATTTTGTAAGTACTGTATTTTTTTTTTTTATAGACAATTGGTATTCTAATAATATTTTGGAAGAATGTTACTTCTGAAATTCTAAAATATGTTCCTTTGGCTGGCCTAATAAATTTCAAATTCCATCCACTAAAGTCCAACATGTTCATTCTCTTACCTTCTCTCCTGAAGAACCATCATCTGTTGTCCCTTTGTCTTCATCTTTTAATATACTTCCTATAGACTGGTTTGCAAATTCACTCTAATATAAAAATAGGATAAGAAACACTAGTTTCAATGAATTTTTTACACATTTTTATCTGTACGTCAGAAATTTTCTGCATTATCAGTCACAGTTTTGTTACTATTATTTGTAATAGGTTTAGTTCCAGACACTGTAAGCATCCTTTTATAAGGAAAATCACATTTTTATGTTTCTTCCGATCAAAAGGTTTTGTTTACAATATCACATTAATTAATAGGTTTCATGAAACAAAGTTGATGCATTACTTGATTGAAATACATTAAACTTATCAATAAATACAAAATGTCAGTATGCATGGGAACAAAATTAGATTGTGCACAATTATGAAGTAAGATTAATAGAACCTACCAATATTCTTGAAGCAGCATCGACAATGGACTCCTCTTTGGGTGGATATCCTTGGCCACTGCAAGTAGGCATCTGGTCACCTGAAGACTTATGTTCACCATTTATTTGAACACCAATACCTGTGGCTCTAGAAAAAGAAAAACATAAAACAATTACTGATCCTCTCTAGAACAAAATACACAAGTGATCGATGCATCAACTTCACTAAAAACACAATATTATTTACAAATATTCAATCAGAAGAAAATGAGGAACACAAAATTTCTTAAAAAACAGCAACAAAATAACCGTTCATATTATGAACAAAAATAATAAAAACAGGCCACTAAGTTAAATGACAATTTTAAAAGTTTTAATGGCTAAGAACAGATTTCTGGCAATATAAATGATACTTATATATGTAAAAGTGTTTCTGATATATTTCCTATTTATATCCATCACATTTTTATTAAAGTTTTGCTTTTATATTCTGGCGCATATATTACAAAAAAATGTGGAGTTTTGTTTAACATTTTTAAAGTGAGTTAGAAATCTGTAAGTCATCAAAAAAAAAACTACTACTACTACCCTACTCATTCAATGTGTTGTTTATAGAATCATCAGTGTAGGCAATAAATATCCTTGTTGCCTTTTGTTAGTCTTGAACGTGTTAACTACAATATAATAAAGTCCCACACTTTACATGTGGTTATTACTATATTAGATATATCCTAATTCACATAACACTGAATCTGGATTTGGTAAAATTATCTTGCCCATAACTTACCTGTCTTGACTTTGCACCATTGTGGTTTGAGGGGTTGACAGGCTAACACTGTCAGGAATTGTTCCATGTATGGATACTGATGCTGTGTTGATAGTTGTTGATGGGACAATGTAAGAAGGAAGTGGGTTGGAACCAGGTGAAACTAAAAATATTTGTACGTTTGAAATAAGTACAGTTAGGAAACACATATATATATAAAATTTCATTTAGTTAGGATTATACTGTAGAGGCATATCCAATTAAATGTGTTTTTTTCTTCAAATCTTAACAATTATTTTTTCAATTCCAATGACAGCAGGTTATGTTCATCTAATTATATTTCTAATATTGTAAATTAATTTTGCTACATATAAATCAAGTACACAACTACAAGAACACATGTACCTACCATTTGTTCTGTTAGCTATGTGATTTATAATGGGTGACGAGTGCATGCGATTGTCATGGGAAGGTGGATGATTGACTCTATTGACTGTTCCAGGTGAAGAATTGTTCCCTGGTGAGAAATGACTCAACCTCGACGTGTTTGCCATACTACGGGCATGAGACATAGTAACGGTTGAAGTAGTAGTTGTCACAGGCGCAGGATCATCATCAATAACTATCACTTGAGATGGTGATGGTTGGCGAGGTGGTGGATGAGGCATTATCTGAAGCCCTGGTGGAAGGTTGGGTGTTGAAAGTGGAATAGATTTCTGCTGGTTTGGCTGAGAACTTGTTCGGGAAGTAACTGATCTCTGAGCTTGTACTTGACTGCTACAACAGTTGAGGTTATGTTTAAGAAATGGTTAAATTCCTCTGTTAGTTATTATGTATTTTAAGAGAGGTCTAAAATGTGTCACTGAGCCCATATAGCAATAATAATTATAAAAAATACACTGAAATAAATGTTCTACAGAGTTGTCCATTGCAACTCACCACCCCCAATAAAGTTAATAATTTTGTTGTATTTTCCTTCCAGAAGATAACCACAGCCACTAAGACTTAAGACATCAGCTAGAAATCATTAATTGATGGTATAGTCATCAGAACTGTGTAAAGTTTATGTCATGCTAAATACAATATGAATGGCCAACCCTATATATTTGTAGCTGTATGCATATAAATGTCACTCCATCTTCTACTTAAAATATAACTATGACCATAGCATTAATACATTTCTCATCTTTTACACCCAAACTCATGAAACCAATGTGTTACTCATCATACATTATGTCAAGAAATATGTTAAAATGCTCCAGTCTGAGAATGTTAGGTTTTGATAACATATACAAGATAAATCACAAACCTTTGTCTGTTGCTGGTTACAGGAGTTTTAACAGGAGAAATGGTAATGTTCGAATTTAATGAGACAGGGAGTGAGAGAGAAACTGAGGATGGAGAAGCTTGTGATGGAGAGGGAGATGCTTGAGGATTTGCTGGCCGTAACTGCACAGGATAAGGTCTTGTTTGCTGTACCATTTGAGGGTTTGGGCCCCTAACCTGGTTTCCAGGCATGCGCTGTTGCCAGTTAGCTGTTGTTTGGTTGGACCGTGGGGAAATACCCTGCTGCTGGCTTGTGCTCAATAGGTTCCTTAGTTGTACAGGAGAATGACCAGCTAAGTTGGAATGAGTAGAGGATGAAACCTGCTGCTGCGGGTAACCCTTATTGAGAGGTTGGGCCATCACAGGCCCACGAGATCTCACAGACATATTTGTCCCACTAACATTTCCATAGGAACCTGGAGGTCGGCCTCCTTGAGGCGGAATCATTCCTCTAGGCTGTAATTAGAAAATAAAGTACTTATCTACCTCTCCACTGCTTCAAATGTTATGTTTAAGAAACCATTCTATTTTAAAGACACAACAAAATTAATATCAGACAAAGTTGTGAAGATTGTATGACAATGATTAATAACTTTTTATAATCTTCATTTTCTAACGTTTTTATTGTATATCATAACAGATCATTTATCAACATTAAAAGTTTTTTCTAAAAGTTAAAAACTGGTGAACATTTCATTACAAGTACATAGAAGCTTTCTATGTAGTAATAAAGCATACACTATAATAAAACTAAGACCTGAAAACAAAAGGCAGAAAGGTTTTCAAAATGTCATCCTCTACACTTGAGCTACATAAGTAAATTGTATAGTCACCAATATAATTCTGCAAGTGTTTCTCTAACAGACAGTTGCAGCTCATTCTGCAGTCAACTCAAGAATATTAAATGTTTAACAAATGTTCACTAACTATTTTGTATAACTCTTAAAGGTCTTAACTAAGTTTGGACTCCATTATCAAGTGATTATGTAGACATCCTTCCTAAATCCTTAACCTTGGCCCATTCAAATTCAACATCTTCAAAATAGATTCAAAAAGCTGAAAATTGGTTATTGTGACCTACTAAAATGTTGAAAATATATTATGCTACTTAATTCGAACACATCATTAACATTGTGCTAAAGTCTAAAAAAAATATAGTTTATGATTAAACCACTTTTTTATCTGTGAAAATTATTTTATACAGCAAAATTACCAAACTATACATTTATCCTTTTTCTTCATACTACACATTAGTGTATATGTGTTAGTCTGAGACAGAGCAGACAGTGTGAACTGTTCAACTCCGTTTTAGGAGTAACTATGAGCTACCTTGTATGGCTGTCTTGGGCTAGGCCATGCTCTTTGTTTTGACCTGTCACTACTGACTGTACAAACAGGCTGGTTGTTTGCGGTTACCTGTGTACCATGTGTAATAGATGGTGCCTGCATCCTCAGGGAAGGGTTAACTACTTGTTGGCCTCTACCTATCCCACCAGGAAGCATCCCACCAACAGGCTGCTGGTCAACCATCAGACAACCAAGGTGGCTTATGTACTCACTCAGGAACTGAGATTCATAGGCAAATTTTATGTCAACCATATGTTGAGGATTGGGTACTTCACAACGACGTCGAAGAACATGTCTAAGCTGAGGAAGAAGAAACCAGGAGTTACAGGTCTTTTCAAAAGTTAAAAAAAAAAAAAGTAGAAATAAACAAAATTTTGTGCTCTGAATGGTTGCACCACCAATTCATGATTTTAAAAGATTATTAAAATTCAACAACAGACAGCTTATACTTAACTTTTTATTAAATTTGGACATACAAAATGTATTGTTATAAAGACAATTGATTTAACTCTTTAATATGAGAAGTACATCCTACATATAATCTAAGCTCCAAAGATCACATTTAAGAGAAAAAAAAAGACTTTTTGAAATAAAAGCTGTTTCTTGAATAGAAACATTTTCATTCTTCATCAAGTTATAGCAGTATTTTATAAAACTTCCTGTATGTTAGGTAGAAAGTTTATAAGAAAATTAAAACAAGTAGTCCTACATCATTATGCATTTCAAAATTGCTTACAGAAATTAAACAATAATTAGATTTTATTCTAAAATGACAGATATACCACTCCAATTAGCATCTTGTGTTGAAATTAAGTATAAACCTCAAAGTCCAAGGATCATGATTTTAGTTATTATGAAAAAACAATGGTTGAATAGAGCATTTACAAATATATGATCTAAGCTAGATTTTTGTTCCTGTAGATGTACAAGCAGCAATCATCTGTTATAATGTTACTAGTCCCTCATTTGCAAACAAACATCTTACTTGGTTTGTTAAAGCCTTTTTGCTGTACACAAGAGCTATGTCACTTCCCTTTGTAATGACCGACTCGGCAAATCTCTGACAATGATACAACCGTTGGGAGAGAGATACAAGTTCTTCATTCTTCATAGTCAGCTGTTTTTTCTTCCGACTACATACTTCATTCAGTTCTTGAAGCAGAAGCTTTCCTCGCCGATTGATTTCAGTGATGAACCTATAACAAACCAGGACATTAAGACTTTTCTTCCAAAGCTTACACCATTCAAAATGTACTGAGGTACTTCTAACAATGTAAGTGTCTACAAGTTTCAGCAGATACTTACAATCATTTGTCATGAAAATTATACATACAACTTTTCCAAAGGATGAATTTTAAAACTATTTTCAAAAGTTAACTCTTAGTCTAGTTTCATAGATACATAAATATAAACTAAGGTAGAAAAAAAAAGGTTGATAACTTTATGTTAAGAAGATCTGTTTCAATTATTATTAAAAACATTGAAACACTGGACAAGATTCTAGCATTAAGCATTTTCATTATCTTTAAGAGTTGATGGGTAACCCTGTTGAGGTGAGGAGAAAAAATGCCTTATAGGCATGATCCCTTTAAGAGAGTTCAAAGTATGCTTCCCCCAAAAATGTTTGGGAATCAAGATTTTCAGAAACAACATTTCTTGTATTTTCTGACTTGTTTTTACTCTCCAGTTTTTTTAACACTTTTTGTATAAATAGAACAACTTTGTTCCCTCCTTCACTCTGATGATACTCTGAAGTAGGAGAAAATGTTTTTTTGTTTTGTGTTTGTTGCAAGTTACTGACTTGATCAGTAATGCTGTAATGATGCTTTGTTACCTGCGGAGGGACACTTCTTTGTTCGAAAGCATTATAAGTGGCTTCTAAATGATTTCATGACAACTCTTTAAAAGAGAGAGGGATTCAAAAAGGTCACAGTTAGTGATGCTAGTGAGACTGATCCCCCAAGATAAAAAATAAAGCAAGTAGAAACAGTGGCGTACCTAAGGTATGGCATGTACCCTGGGCACCACTGAGCAGTTTCTATTAAAGTCAGACAAGCCATCCTTGAATAGTGAAAAAATAATTTTCTTCAGATGTATGATCTGTCTTTGATTATCATGGGTGAGAAGCACTAGGATGGCCAGATTATTAAACCACTTATATAAATTATTAGGTAAAAATATAGTGCTGGGAGCAACATGACCAAATGCCTCATAGTACCGCTGCTCAGTGCAAACTGGC